TTTGTACGAGTATTCCGCGGAAAGCGCGGTATAGCTAATTAACGTTTCGCGTATACGTAGCACACGTCCTACGTAGCGTGGCGTTAATTATTCCCATCCTCGACTATAATAAATTTATCAACAACCGTACATTATTTAAATCACACTGAAACTGGGTCTCGCTCTTGCATTCAGCGGAGTCATCAACTCTTATTGCCGCTCGATGCTCGGATTTTCCACGAGACACTTTAAGTTTATTACAAGATACATGGATAAGAATAGATGATAATGACGTTTTGTTACTAGAGAGTATGAAAAAAAGCACATTTTTCCGTAATTAAATAATTAATGGGTGTATTTATTGTTGCAAACCGGCGAAAGTGAGCTGCAAAGATCCGTCTTTGTCTACCGCTATATACGTCCGCACTGTAATTATTTCACTCGCCAGCGTATGAAAGAAAAATAATCGATCGTTGGAGCAGGGCGATGAAATGAGGGTCGCGCGATGCGCGCTGACGGAAATAGATCTGGCAGTTGCTTTACGCCGGTTCCGCCGTCGTGTTCCAAGCGCGGTTGCAAAATTCATACCCGGCCGACGGGGCGCGTCGAAGTTTTCTTAATAACGGAATCCTGAATTCCGGCTGTTTCTCGAAGTAGGTCGTGCTCCGCGCGATTTCCTAGGTCGTATCTCCATTTCCTGCAAGCGTGAGCGCGCGCGCGCGAGCGCAACTCCCCCGTATCTATCCAACCGGCTTCGTATCGGAGTTTCTCCTTGGGGACATAATTTCAAAATAGAAGCTATGTGTCCTTAATGCTTGGGACCGCGTTCCAAGTTTTAATAAGACGATCGATATAGCGCGAAAGCACGCCTGACTATTACTTCCCTTTGACTTTGACCAATTCACTGATTCGTTATTTCGGATTCCTCGCTTGAATTTCCGTCCTTGTAGCTCAAAGGGGGAAAATGAAGAATCCACGTGTCTGTTGGGCGTTAAAATGTCCGCTAAAATGCACGTGATGCTTCGTGTAAAAGCGCGGCTACACCGACGAAAAGTTTTCTCGTATATCAAAGCGACGACTGCGGAAAAAAGAACGCATCGCGCCGCGCCGTGCGTCAAGCCGCATGCATGCATGCATGCCTACGTGCGCGATGAATGAAATCAGGCAACGAGACTTGCACGAATCATACTGAGAGAGTCAAAGGAACCTTCTTTTCTCACCAAATTAGAACATTCTATGAGTATTTCAATTCGAGTTCACTGTTCACATATTTGAAGAAAGTCTAAAATTTAGGACGCACTGATATTCTCTTGAGCGTTCGTTAAATATTCATTTTAATAAAGATATAATATTTTACCGCAGGTTAGACATGTGAATATTGAAAATCTTTACGTGTTTAATTAAATATTTAAATGTATAATTCAGACTATATTAAAAGCATAATTAAATCGATGTTTATTTAATGACATTAGCTCAAGTAATTACGTATTTCTACGCGTAATAGACTGCGCGACTTAATTACAAATTATGTAAAATAACAACAACAAATTAATTCATCAAGCGCGAGTTCACATCAACGAAGTCTTCGTTTTTCCGTTCGATCGAAAAAATTTGTGACTTTGTTATTTGCCGCATAAAACCGTGCTAAGAAAGCACAGCTGCTTCACTAGACGTCATTAAACATTTTAGTTCTTCTTTTTTTTTTTATGGCCGATCGATTCGAGACGTTTTTACTACGGTACGATAATATTTAACATGTGATAGTGAAAATTGAACGGAAATGTCAAATACAGCGCAGTGCTTTCTCGTATGTAACATTCGTATCTACTGCACGGTGATCGATCAATACGTTAAAAACGCAATCCATTTCATCAACGGTAACTCGGAATTTGCAAAATGGAAAATTGCATATTTTTCGAACAATATCACCGTTTGTAAGCCCATATTTGAGATATATTGACAAGGTGTATGAACAATTTTTAAAATAATCACGATTACATCACATTTAGCGATAACTAGCGAACAAAGTGAAAATCAGGGAATTATAGGATAAAAGTTTATAATTAATTAAATAAATATTGCGAGAGAAAAAAAGGAGAGAGAGAAGGAGAAAAATTGTTCCCCATATTTATTACCGATATGTAAGACATGGTCGCTTACGCCGCAAGTTGGCAGTACCACATGGTCACCGTCTTATGCCGGTAAAAAGTACAACCACAGAGGAAGGACTTTTTGCCGGCGAGAAGGTTAAACGGGAAAGAGTCGAACAATTGCCCCGAGGGGGTTACGTTTCGGCTTTTTTCTTTCGCGTAAAGGTTGACCTTACACGTTTAAACGGTTCGTTAAGTTGATTCTCTTCCAGTTAGATTTTCATTTAATTTAACGACAGCGGCGTTTTTCAGTCGCCTCCGCCAACTCTTTTTCTTTTGGCACCCGATGCCCCCCGGTGTGACACTAACGAGCGTGTTTGGAATTTCGACAAATTTTATACACGCTAGAATTCTGCCTTTCGACGCGCACGACCCGGTAACAATGCAAACGTCGTTACTCGTCCGTCACGCACATTAATGGTTTTATGCGAAAAGTCATTTCGCGTTGCATGTACAAATACGCATTACATTTTGCACATTGACACGAATGTACTCGGGCACACACGGTGTTTGTACATTTCGTGAATTTGCTACGTTTACCCTCAAACTTATTACAGTTAACGTATACCCGTGTTATCCATTAACGCAATGTTGCACGATATACGTATAATATGTACAGCGGAGCGAACGATGCAAGCGGGCTAATTCAGCGAAGCAAAATGATAAGGCGGATATCTGCCATAAGCGTAAAAGCGGCTGGAATGTGATGAAAAGCGGCAAGAAAAGGAACGAGAAGAAAGGGGATGTGCGCGCTCGCTTTCACTGCCGAGCCATCGAAAAACTGTCGCGTATCGCGCGTGTAGCAATAGACGTTCGCCGATGACCCGTCAAAAATTGATTTTCACGCTTTCCACCTGTCGATACGCGTTACCATGCACTTTATCCTTATAACTCCGGCCACCGTGTACACGCGTGATTCGGAACACGCGGAATATCATCGGAAATCGCATCGCCAGATCCGACATGAGATCCGATGTTTGAAAAAGCGCAAGAGAAAAGAGCGGCGTCATCCCAAAATGACCTTCGACATGAACGACCTTTACCGCGAAATCTACTTACGGTAGACTTAACGACTTCGCCCCCGCGGTTTAAAGCTATACGCCGCGCAATTAATTCTCTAAGTTCCCACCGGCGAGCAAATCGATGCAAATCCTTGAACGAAATCCCTTACGACGCGCCGCTTCGTAATAACTCCGTCCAACATCGGATTTGCCTATCCAAACTCCCATTAAAAGCGCGACCACGACGACCTGTGTGACCTGTGTCAATAATTTAGATCATCGCGGCAACGAAGAAATCACAAATCGATCTCGTTGATATTTATATAAATAAAGTTCGCACAGATATTGCGCAGATTGGTTAGTTAAAAGACAATTTCTGTATAGCGGGGTGGAGGGCCGATAAAAGCCAAACCGCAGATGTTTGAATGAATATTTATGTCAATATATATGCATTTATACATATATATATGTGTGATTGCCTCTATGTAATGATCGTTAAACCGCTTTGGTTCAAGACTGGATCTTCCTCACAGTAGCAGACTAAATCAAACAAGAAACATCAATAAGATATATGCCAGAGGGAATTCTGGAAACTCTAAATAATCGCAAGCAAGCAATTTTTGGAGAAAAGCGCCAAAGCGTGAAACTCAAATTTTTCGGAATATTGGAAGGAATATCCAATATCGGAAAGTAAACGTAGTCACAAGCAATTTTGTATCACTCGGCAAATCGGGATTGTCTTTTGATACGGAGTATCTCGGGGGTTATCAGAGATGCTTGTATAATAACACGACCTCGTCGTCCGAACCATGCGCGTTGTTCCAATTGAAATCGTGATTATTATCGATTCTGCGATCATTAATTATTGAATGGCACTTGCCCTGCTAATACGATTTCAATGCTCCTTGTTTTCGATTGTAATCGATCTTAAATGTACATAATTTTTACAATTAATAATTGAATGTTACATAAACTTATGCATTAAATTGTTTCGAGATAAGTTTGACGTAAAAAAAGACGTCCAGCAATTAAATATAAGTATATATATATATATATATAATATTCATGATGACTAAGATTGATGCGAAAATTTGCGATGAAAGAGGAATTTCTATTTTTTTTTAATAATTTTCCGCAAAACAGTCACGTGGTCCGTGATCACGATGTAAGAGAACACGCGAGTGAAAAAACTTGCGGCGCTTTCTAGCGTTATGAGAATTCCAAGACTGGATTTTCCTTTTCGAAAACATTTCTCAAAGTCGCGAGACAACGGAAAGAGAGAAGCAAGCGGGAGCGATGAAGCGGACGAAACGAGGTTTACTCTCGATGAAACGAGCACAGCTCGGTGCTGTATACGTCGTAGCCAAGACAGCTTTTCTTTCGAGGGACGAAAACACGCGAGTCAGCGAAGTGGCGGAGGAAAGCCGGCGAATCCAAGCGAGCAAACGGCAATAAAATTCATCTCGAGAATCTTTCGCGCGAAACCTTGTCTATCTCCGTTTGTGTCAGAAATTGCCGCAAATGTGGAGAAGCGGCGTTTCAAATCCACAATATTGGTGAAATCATTACGGTCAGAATTCTTTTCATTCTAGAAATTTAACGAAATTTAATAAAGCGTGCGTTATTCGATTTTTTACGCGCCGTCAAGATTTCCCTCAATTTTGTCGGGATTTTTTATTTCCCGTCACAAACAGGCAAGGATGTAAATAAGTGTAGAAAAGATCTATCAAAAGAGCGATCGATATCATATTGCGAGATACGCGAATCGATCTCGAATGAAGCGAGCCGAAACATCGAAGCTATTCAGCTCGATCGCGAGAGCGAAGAGACATCCGGCGTGCTACGGAGAATCTCTTTGAACAAGATTTACCTTGATGAAATGCGGAACGCGCGACGCCGTGCACGACGCCGTCGAGGTTGACGAATATGAGAAGCGGTGCCAACTTGGCGAAGATCGGGATCGTCCTGGAACGTGCGGCATTCGCACCGCGGGCCCGCGGCGGCGTCATTTCCATTCCCTCGATCGCACCTCACGCGCCGATCTTCACCGCCGATCCGCGCTTCTCTTCTTTCTCGGGGAAGGGGGGAGGAGGGGTGCAATGTCCTGTATCACCCGCGATATTGCTCTTGAGACTTGCGATTGGTCCACGATTAGCGCACCTGGCGTCGCCTGGAGCGCCTTCTGCGCGCCTGGCAGCACGTGCTCCGAGCAGCAGCAGCAGCAGCAGCAGCCCCCGGCCGAGCGTCTCCGTTGCTCATCTCCGTGCGTTTGTGCGCGGAGCACGAGTTACCGCTACTATCTGCCCGGAGCAGTGGCCGACGACGACGACGACGACAGCACTGTCGCGGAGCGTGATGACACGCCGGCGGACCACCGGCAGCACGACGGCACGCATCGGCGGAAGCTCAAGGTCACGAACAAGGCCGCCGCGACGTGTGCGAAGGGAGAGCAACCCCCGAAGGAAAGATACGCACTGATCCGGTGCCGCGCGCTGTACGTAAAATAGGAGATCCGCGCGCACGGACGAGAGCTCTCTCGCGCGCCCCTTCTCTCTCGAGGTCCCCCGGTCCTGGTCCCTCTGTCCCGGGCCGTAGACTGCTGCCTGGAAACCCCTCGGAGTACGGAGTACGCGCTCGTGCCTCCTCCACCACCCCCGCCCCCGCCGCCAAGCACCCCGTCCGACTCCGCCGCGTCCCGTCCCGCGACTCGCCGCCGATAAACTTCCTACGGGCACCCTCCGATACTCTCTCGCTCTCGCTCTCTCTCCGTCTCCCTTTCTCTCACCCTCTCTTCGTTGTGCAGCCCGCACCAGGAACATCCAGCGGCGCTTGCGCCGTCATGACCGTCCCCTGATGCCCGGGCACTGCCGCTGCCACTGCTGCTGCTGCCTCTGCCTCTGGCCTCTGCCTCTGCTTCTGCCGCTTCCTCGTGCCTTGGCGAATCCTCTCGCTGTCCTCGTCTGTCTCTCGTCCTCGCTCACTCGCGCCCGGCTGTTCTTTTCCCCCTTGTCGGTGGCCCTTCGCCGCGCGGGAGAGACTCTACGCGGTAGCTCCCGCGCGACCTCCCGCTCTTTTCCCTCTTTCTTTTTCGCTCTTTCGACAACTCTGGCCCCTACACGCATCCCGAATTTCTTCCCCCGGACCGTCCTGTTCGCGTCTCCGCAAAATCTACCCCTCGCTTTATTCCTCTCGGATTTTCAATAGGGATCATCGGCAGCCGCCGGAATTTGATCGCTGATAAGGGAACTAAAAATGACAATTGTGAAGCGGAGAAGGGGGGTTTTTACCCGATACGATCTCGTCATTAGGGGAATGGTTCTCGGATAACTCGTGGGAAATTTGTGCTATTCACCTGTCCGGTATCTCTCGCGATGTCTTCGCCCGGGACACCACTTAATTTTCGATATTGTGCCCGGAGTTGCTATGGCCAACCGCGCGACACACCGACGCGACTACATCACGAACGATACTTTCGGTAGATTAAACATCACCTAATTCATTTTATTTTCTACACGCTCATCACACGGAATGTCTATCTTGTTGACAAAAAATGACTCCCACGACGATTAGCGGCGGTAGTCCCTGTCGCGAGTAATAAAGAAACGAGTTTGCACGTTGCCAATGGCACGATATATAAATCCCCGCGATGGATATTACTTTTTTAGAATACGAAATAAATTTCTTCGTGGAGCGCAACACGCTCCCGCGAGAGTAAACCAGTAACTTTAAACCGGTAACGTAAAAATGTAAAAAATGAAGTTGGAAATTGTAAAAACAGTTGGCAAGCCGCGTCCGTCTGCAAAATTCGTTATAATGTTCCGGGTTTAATGAAAATATTCGCAAACATCTGTTTATCTTAAACTAATATTTTGCGCGTCGCACCGTGACAAACGCTACATTACAAACTGATATGTGGAAGCTATAAATAAAAATTTTACCGTGGCGAAAATTATTTTAATCTAGTCTAATTTCCATCCTTTATCAAATGTGGAAATTGAATAGAAATATTTGGACGAAATTTCGAATAAAGTTCCGTGAAATTATTTATTAATGAAATTTTACTTGAAATTTACGTTGAAAAATACTATATGTTGCGAGTTTTCAAAGCAGAAAGCTTAGACTTTTACGATGACATTAATTCGCGACACTAATGGAAAATATTATAACTCCGATCGCGTTAACGAACATTTCGAGAGAATTATTTATACAGGAATTTTCTTCTCAAAGGTTTTTTTTATTAGTTACGCAAAATAAAAACAAGAGATTAAATAAATAAAACTGCGTGGTTTAGAATTACTTTTTTCAAAACACTGCCGATAAAATATAGTATAGAGAAATGATTTTGTAGCTGAAATAGTTCAAAAATGCAGTTACAATACTTTTCATTAATACTGTAGATTTTTTTATTTCATTTATTAATCCTTTATCATTTCGTCCCGATCTCTACCGGATTATCCGGTTAATCCAGTGCGGCTTGTCCGCGGTGGCAAATCGCGATGCCCGTTGCGAGAACTAGGCGCACTCCAAGGAGATCACGACCTACTAGCTACGACCTGCTGTTCGCGGGCGGCAAGGAGCGAAGGGGTGGGTAGGATGGTCGAGACAGATCTGAGCTGACGCTATGAGAATACGGGAGGCGGAATTTAGAATGATGGAAGTGATTGTCCTGAAATTACGAGGTACGCGATCGCCCGGCGTCGTTAGCAGATTCGAACGTCTACGAACGTGTTGTACGAGCAAAAAAGGGAGAGTAATTGACTTTGAGATTCAGCTCGGAGATCAAGCCGGAGGGACGAATCGGAAGTGTCGAACTGTCAATATTTGTCACACCGTTTTATCACTGCGAGAGAGGGCTGTCATATTTTCGAGATCTCAATGGACGACACACGCTCGATATATTGATTTTGTTTATAAACGCGCTATTTTGTATTTTTATATTGCGCGCGACGTGTCAATAGGCAAAACTTCCGTTTCGACGCGAATTCTGTTCAAGTTTCAATGAACAAGCGGAGCAAGTTATGAGAGACTTTAATGCATATTCGAATTAATTGCAACAGCTTCGTACCCGGCGATTAATCGGCGGCGTAACGCAACGCTAACTAATCGCGGGCAGGTGACTCGTATTGCGCATTATTACTCACGAATAAACGCGATTCGGCGCGTCGTCGATATACCCAACATGTATTAATGATCACATATGAGAAGGATCTAAATTCAAAATCACATTCTCCATTATTTCTAACCGTGATTTTACAGCGCGAGTAAAAAGCTTCATTAAGAACATTTTACTGTATAATTTATTCCATTCTAAACTTTTTGTTTTTAGTATAACTTTCATACAAGTCTTATTTAATTTTATCTTAATTGAATTGAATTTATCTTAATTAAATGTAATAATTTAATTTGGCTTTTAATCATTTTATTTTTTTCAATTTATAAAATGTAATAAAATATAAACATTTGTTAACAAGATAAATGTCCCAAATATTCGTACGTTGAAGATGTTATCTTTATTAAAAAAGAATTTGTTCCATCATAACAATAATTTTCTCATCTTTGTTATATATGTATTATAAAGATCAAAATCTACTTAATAGAAATGACAGAAATAACAATTATTAATTGATAATCAATTAAATATTTGCAAAAAATGTCGAGTATACATATGTATCAGTATCCGATCGTTAAAAATGGTTATCCCAAAATATACTTTTCAAATGAGAAATTATAAAAATTTTTATAAAATTGATTAAAAATGTTTTTTTTAACATTCACATTTAAAAAATCACTTATTCTTACAAGTAAAATCGTTAACGATTAATCTACAGCGTTATATATTGTTATTTATTATATTAATTATTATATGTAGTGAAATATTATGCAATAATTCTTAATTCTTTTTGTATGCAAACTTAATTTAATGAACAATTAAAGTAGAAAGACGAGGATTGAGAGCCAACGCAGGATGTTAACAGTTTGTCACAATCTTCTTCATTATTACATCAATACACAAATTATCTTTTGCATAATAGTTATAAATTGTTCAATTTATTTATATCAACTGAAGTCACTTACTGTGAGAATATGCATGTTGGATGTGAGTTTTATCATGTCACGCACATATCATTACACACAATCTTATACTTAGTAACTGACTTCAATTGATATGAATAAGTGGGCCAATTATTGAACTATTGTACTGAAGATAGTCAAAAGACGAAACATTTATGTATTGATGTAATAATAAAGAAGATTGTAACAAGCGGCTAATATCCTGCTTTGGTTCTCGTACCTCGTCTTTCTACTTTAATTGTTTCTAACAAGAGCCTGTATAAAGTTTAATTTAATAAAGATTTTTTAATATTATTTCTGGATTTTATACTTATAAATAGTTAATAATAGTTGTTTTATTGGTATATAGTCGGATATTGAGTCGCGTTCGAATACTGGGACATTTAGTTTATAAAAAAATTCGAATTTTGCATCTCTCATACGTATACATATACAAAGTGTCACAACTTTTAATAGACAAATTTTAGAAAATTAAAGTTGTTCTAAATGAAGAAAGAAATTTATATAAAAAATAGGGGTTGTTGTTTTATTTCTGAAATACTTATTTTAGACACGCTTTGAAGTCTATTTGTTAAGAAATGTAACGTCTTGTGTTAGGAACGCACGCAGAAAGCGTTTCGAGCTGATGATTGTACATGCTACGCAGACACCGAGTCTTAACATACCCATTGCGCTCTGTAATATGCAACAACGAAGTTTGTATCAATCTCGGATGATCAGTGTTAACGAGTTTTGTTACAATGGAGCACGATCTTCCGCTAAGACGACTGACTAGGACTAGAGAAAGGAAAAGGGATGGAGGGGGAGAATTAAGGCCGATGGTAGCGATTGTTCCGAAATTACGACGAGGCATCGTTAACTCCTACTTGCGAGGGGTCGCCTTCCGCTGATTAACTTTTAATGGATCTTAGATTAAGCTCTGGTATCACTGTCTCGCGCCCGTCCCTAATTGTACGCTGCTGTATTTACGTATATTAATTTATTAACGTATCGTAAAACATTGAAAAAATAAGCCGATAAGAGGGGATTAAAGCATCATATTTTATGATTTATGCTTGTTAGCGCGAGCACAAGTTTTGCGAGGGAATATCACGCGACTCGAATAAAATGACCGCGGTGGAAAGGTCGAATGGAAAACGTTAATAAGCTTACGGGATAAACATAATACCTGTTGTATGAGAATGCCGCAAAGGAAACCCACGCGTTCGAATAAATCTGAAACATATTTCTCTTAACGTTATAAGTCGTATCGAGTCGCTGTAAATATTTCTGTAAATATTTCTTGGCAATATTTCCAAGAAAAAGCAGAGCGTGTTTCGCATACGAGTGGTTTTGGATTACACGTTACATGCCATAAACGCCTCTGTCTCGTATTTCTGACAGAAACGCGGCCGCGTCGTCAGCCGCTGTTACAAAAGCGATTGTATATTCGAACGATATTTCGGGCATATAATTAACAGATGAAGCCGCCGCAATGTGCGAAAGCAATTAATCGCAGACGTCACGCGCCACGGGTGAAACGGGCTGATTAACCTTGTTCGCGCTCAGCCGAAAGCGTTTTGCTCCAAATTGATCAAGGGTGCTTATTTGATAGAGGCATAAAAAAATAACGTTCTGTCGCCGAATTAACCTTTATTCGAGTTATTCTCATAATTGTAATTTTGATTACAAATGTTAGACGATAAAGATCTCGACGTTGGAAATTTTATGACTGCCCTATTTTTTCGTGAAGCATCGGTGTGCGTGTTCTCGATTAACCAGTCATTTATGTATTTTTTAAAACCTAAAATATATACGACCGCGAGTTGTGAGAGCTTTGCTTGAGGTTGATTGTTAATTTATGGTCGGATATGAGATTTGGAATATGTCAGGCATACTTTCGTAAAATAGCTGAGAAAGCACCAAATGGTTAATATATTTTGTACAGTGACGTTAATGAGGGTCCGCGTGGGCGAGCCGTCGCTGCTAATTTCACAAAGGTCTGCTCGTTTGACTTGAACAGCGAGCCGGCGCTACGCGCAAAGAGTTCGTTAACACGCGTGATATTTCGAATAATGTTTCGTATAACAGTATACAGAATAATTTAGCACTTTTTGTATGATATTTTTTATACACGCGCGAGTGTGAACGCGTGTCTAATACAGACTCGTAATGGCACTGCAAAAGAGAAAGTAGAAATTTTCAGCTGTGTCCGCTGATAATTATCGACTGGCGATCGCATCGGCGAAGGAAGAATTAATTAATTTATTCACGGAGATTGTGCGTGGTACAAAATGAAAACAAGATTTGCGTAAACAAGCAGAGAGGTATGTGTGCGGCGCGATGTATACCGGCTTAAAGGGAACTCCTTCCCGATAGTTAATTATTGGCGGGCAGAGCTGATTTGCAAGTACGTCGTTTATAATCCACTTAAGCTCTAATCGAATCCTGGCTAGTCTCGGGGACAACGGATAGACGTGGCTTCTATAGCTTCGGCGTAGGTCGCATAGTCGATCCTCGGCATTGCGCGTAATTACGCGCTCCGTTTACAATCTTCCGTGCGTTATACGTTATGTGCGGGAGGGGCGAGAGGGAGAGGGGGTGAGGGATGCAGAAGAAAGTCTGAAAAAGTACATGTCAAAGAGAGAGATGAATATCTTTTTATTCTTATTTAATCAGGATGTAAAATTTCTTCCTTATTTCTCGGCATAAATCTCAAATAGATTCACATATTTGCCTCAGTTTAACATTAAAGGGCAGGTACGCGAGGTACGTTTAATTTTCCACGGAAATTTACTATTTACGGGAATTTTCGCTCATGCTGGAACGAATGTCCTTTTGTACCTTTACTTTTTAAATTTCTCTTGTGCATGATTTATTATACTTTGTCGGGCTTGTCCCGTAAAATCGTAAAATAAAAGTTCTCTAAATTTTTCGAGTGTGTCAGTCGGTAACTGTTGAGAATATATAAATTATTATATTCTGATGATCGTTCTCGGATTCTCGTTCGCGAATAAACGGAGAGCGGGAGAAGAATCGACAGAGAAACATACGATGGAAAAAGGGCTGGACCAACGGCTAGAAAAATCGGCTCTTGTCGGTAAATCGACGATTGGAAGTCATTGTCGAGCGACAATCCGAGCTTTTGGTTTCTCATACGCCGATCGGGCTCTCTCGTTTCCAACTCCGATAGCAGAAGAGTTCCTTTACCATGGCGCACTCTTTTAAAATTCAAGTCGATTCGAATCCTCCGTATTGTCACTCACTGCGGGCATGTCGGCCGAGGACCGTAACGCTCGATAAATGTGTTACAATTACGATTGCGCAGATAGCGGCGAACGCAAGATGACGCACAAACGATCGAAGTATTCAAGCCATCCGCGAAATTTAATGGCTCTATGCGGGTGGCGTTACAAAGAGAAAGAGAGTTATGCGCGGAAGTATGGAGGCACGGTGCCGCAAAAAATCGTGCGGTTGGACATGAAGCGGTTGGGAATGGCCATACAACGGCCTGCTATTTCTATTTTTCGCATGATTCTATTTCGCGTTGCACAACTTTTTATTCATACGATGTATAATAATTCCATTATGTGAAAACCGCAGATCGTTTTTGCGCACTAATCCGGATTGGTTGAATGAAATTTCAAACGTCGCATTGCACGAACTTCTCGCCGTATTCCTTTTGAGTATCTACTGTTTTTTTTAGCGTTGCGTGTATGCAATAAAGTACGCGAAATACAAGACTTATCACGCACAATATTACGTGTAGTAAAGTAGGCAAAGTTTAAATACGGAAATGCACTCGAGGATTGTAACGGAAAGACAACTCATTGCGAACTTTAAAATTATCTCGCGAGTGCATTGACAGCTAACGGGAAAAATTTTCTAAAAATTTTCCGTTTACTATTCATGAAAATTATCGATTCATCAGCATCCATTCAAATCTCTGGACGAATGTTATATATATATATATATATATATATATATATGTATAAATCTCTTTTAACTTTCAACATCCGGAGAGCATAGCGTTGCTACGACGGAGGAGATATTCCGTCGCGTTGCATCGAATCCTGCCAGATTCTCAGGATAATCTCGTCGGAACCGTAGATCTCATTGAAAGGAATAAAAATGTCCCGAATCCCGACAAGTCCAGCCGCTGTTCCAGTATCCTCTTTATTCTCCTCTTTGGAGATAGCCTTGGCGGACCGAGCATCAGGTTCGTCTAATTCGCGTTTCTTTTTATTTGCTTCGTATTTACCCGCGAGATAATCCGTTAATTCTTAAATTATCCGTTATATTTCTGTATTACAATGGTTTCTTCATTACCAGGTCTGCTCGTAGAATTTCTCAGGTTCTACCGGCGAAAAACCGAGCTCGATTCACTCATTCTCTTGTACTATACATCGCGAATTCATCTCGTTTCTAAATCCTCTAATAAGAACTCACATGGCGAGTCAGAATCAAAAGAATTAAAGAATTTTAAATCCTTTAGTGCTACGTCTGCTGCACGGTTTCCATGCACCGTTTAAACCATTAAACCGTTTTCATTTTCTTTAATTTTTTGGCAAACAAGAACTTTTACACTGGTACGGTTAGTCATCGCTCGGCTCACACGCATTTGCTCGTGAAAATATTTCATTGTGTTTAAGGAATATCCTGGAAAAATGTTTTAATTGTTAAATCGAACTGACGTAAAAACTTTTCACAATAATTTCAAACTTTTTCATGTGGAAATCTTATAATTACATTTATGATTGGAAAAGAAAAGCATGTAATTTTAGTATAGATTGACATTATAACGAAGATAAAGAGCGAAATTCTGCTTTTCTCCACTTATTTTATATATACTGATAAAAAGAATCAAGAGACGAGAGCAGAAAGAAAGAAATACTCGCTGGCATAAAAATATGCCAGCAGCCGTTCTAGTGTTAAAGCGTATCTTAATATATCTTAATAGAAATCGATTTTCTCATTGTTCTTGCTATTTTTTCTTCTCTCCACTGTATTTTCAAATATCGAACACGCCCGTACTTTTCCATCGAGTAAGTCATGACTTACCACTGGACGATTTTTCTCGTTTCAGGTTACCCTTTCTCTGAAACGTCACGGAGAAAGCCCGCATGGAAATACCGCGTCTCAAGAGTCCCTAGGACCAAGGCTAATTTCTTCTTGTCTTCTGTATCTAATGTAAGTTCTATTCCTGTCCACCCGAGTTACGTTTACCTTATATTACGCCGAGTTCATCCCTATTTCTTATGAAACATTCATTACGCTATTGTCGTGACGCCCTCACATTCCCGTTTTTCATAGCCGCGAGATCTCATTTTTCTTCGAAGCCCGCATGCATAAAAGCTCATAGATGCCATTAAACTGCCTACGTTGATCACTAAAGAAATAATTTTAGTAAATTTAATTTTTTATCGAAGAATATTGCGTCGCGGTAAGTGTGTGTATGTGTGTGTGTGAGACACAGCGTTGTATTTTTTCATAAAATTTCCACGCAATACCCATGCATTGCGGAAACACTTTCTATTTTCTTTTCTTTTACGGGAAAGTTCTAAGTTGCCATTAAATCCCGCGGCGAGAGCTCACATGGAAATAACGAGATACGACTTTTCCGAGCTAATTTCGAGCTAATTTTTTTCCTCGCACTCCGTAGTCCACGGCGATATCTTCCCTTTCTTTTCTCTTTCTTTCTCTTTCGTGTTTATTTTCTCCACCATTTTCTTCCCTTCGTCGGTCAATGACCGTGAAAGGAACACTACTGAAGACTTGCCGTAGAACGCAAGCGAACAGGCGTTAAATCGCTCGTAAAAATTCCAACAGTAATTGGCCTCTGAACTATTTTCAACACTTCTAGACTTCCTGATGCATCGTCTTTCAATCTCCTCTTGTACTTTGTTTTCGATGAAAATAGCGCATTAATACTTTCGAACGAACTTTTTCCGCGAAGCTTACATTCTCCCGCGGTCGTTAAATCACGCGATAATCGCCGGTAATTATTATGCTGTTAACTGTAAAAAAGATTGTGCGCGTATCATAAAACTCGTACTCGTGTATTTCAAACATGCACTAGGACAAGTAATGCAGGTAGCGCAGGGAATTCTAAGGTGTCCACAATTTGAAGTGAGAGAGTAGCGCACACAAAGGAGAAAGAACCTGCTCGAGAATCGAAACGAGCTATAAGGTTCTCTCTAGTTTTTCCTCGGTGTGCTACCTACTGCCGCCGCCGCTATCCATCGACAACGAAAAGAGGCTGATCGCTGCGGGGGAAGGTTAGTTCTTCTCGGTCGCCCGCACGAAAATGAGTTCCATTCTTCGATTTATTGGCGACAGAGTTTCCCGATCGATCGACCCGGCAACCTCCGGTCCCGAAGCCTGTCCACGCCGCGGTTTAGATTCGCCCCGGAGTTTCGAGACTCGCACCATACTTCTCGGTTCGACTGAAGCAGAACGCCGATCAAATACGTTCGACTTTGTGATTTTTCGTTTACTTTTCGTCAAAGAATCTCGCGGTTAATGATGGCATTGACGCGCCAGATTTTGCTCTAATTTAGGATTTACCGTGTCTTTTGTACTTGTGGTTTTTGCTCACAAATATTATTGAAATTCTGAAAGATGTAAAGAAACATTACATTAGACATGGTGAGACAAACGCCGCATTTTTATTCTTCGAGAAGCGATTCTTTTACTAGATTTCAGACAATTCACTTTCCGCATACGTGTCGTTTTACGCCAGTCGCTTCCACCGTTACAGTATCGCACTTTCGATTTCGCATACGCAATACATATCCAGCGATAAGATAAAAAGTCTTCCCGACATAGAAATTCTGCACATATCGCATACTGAAGGAGAATAAGATTCACTTAATAAAAATTGTTTTCTTGTTTGCAAACTGGAAAAATTCTCATACACAAAGTTTACTAAATTGATCGCAATGATGGGGTTTGATTACATTACATTTTTCCATTCTATATCTATAAAGTAATTTTGTAATTCATAGTCAAGTCTTTGTGCGACAAACCGACAATTTTTCTGTCACATGCGATACTGCACGCACGAATAATGGAATATTCGATATTTCGACGAAACGACACGCTCGCGAAATGTAATCGATACAGTCCGTTACAGAGATATACAAACTGGCAGGTTTACCCGCAATTGACAATACCTTTTTCGACAATGAGTCCACCCGCCCGTTACATTGTAGTTTCGATTCACGATCCTCATCGACCAATCGCTGTATGCCAGTTTTCATTTTCATACAACGTATAAGCAGACTCTCTTTCTCTCTCTCTGTTTCTCTGTTCTCTCATATGAGTAGACTTCGAAGTAAATATAGGTAGAACTATTCAGATTCGGTGATTCAAATGTAATCATAATAAACAAAAAAAGCTTACTAACACAGCATATTTATAATAATGGAAAATTTTTTCAGATATATTTTATATGAATAGCAAAAGAAAATGTATTATATATGCTTTTAATTTGGGAAAATTAGCTTTAATAAATATAAATTACTTCATTACATATGACAAGTTGATTCTTATTTTGATGGCTTTGCTGGAACAGCAAAATACATTTGCTAGCGATTTCATTTAACAGCAAATTACATTTGCTTTGCAGTTATTTCGCGGTTATTCCTAAGAATAAATTTACACACTCCAGACAGGTTTCTCTGTTTTAATAATAAAACAGGTTTTAATGACATAATTGTGTTAGTTTTATTAGCAAAGTTTGGTTGCTTTCACATTAAATATGCAAGTCAAATAGGTTAACAATAAACGGTCAAATAGATTAATAATAATCTTTCGGACAAGAAAAATTTACCTTGTATTTCATCGCGATTACTGTTTTCACGATCGGTCGATCAATCGGGATGGCTTCGCAAATGGCACAAACCTTGCGAAGTCTATTCGCGGTTACCAAACTGCGTGCCGTCAAGAGGTCGAAAGTTCGCGAACGCGAACAAAGCTATGCTATACGACTACTGATATTCGCATTGCCATCAAAGCAGCCATCTGGACGTAAAAGTAGTAGAAAATTTGCTGTTTACGACGGTATACTGCGAGGAAGCTTCTCTCGATGCAGGCTTTCTTCTTCAGCGAGCGTACGTGCACTCGCAGAAGTATCCCTTCCTTTGGTCCCGTGTAATATCATCGTTACGGCGCGCGTAATCGTACAAAAGATCGTATTCTCTTGTGTAAACTTGTGATCACAATATTGCAGAAACGAAGAAGAATGAAGATAATTTAGATAAAAATAAGATCTCAAATTACACGATCTTATTATGAAATAAATCTTGGAAATAAATAAATAAAGCAAGCGAAAGCAAATTAGTAAAATCGTAAGAGATGCAAAGTTCAGGAAAATGTATTTTGACTTTAACGACGGTAAATAAAATCGGCTGATTAAATGCGGCGGGGCGCAGCGGGAAAGGGGACTGAAGAAGCATTGCGTGCAGCGCCAGCACGTGAACGAACGAGGGCAATTTTACGCAATATGAAAGTAAATTTAGCATAGCCTTAGACAAACGAGAAAAAAAATTCAAATTTACGAGATCCACCGGAAGCAAAAATTCGTTTCACGGCGAAAAATCAAAACTGCCGGTCTATTAGACGCCGCCGAGCCGTATCTTTCCCGCCGCTCTCTCTCCCGCAGGACGTCCGCTATTTTGCGAAAAGTTCTCGTTCATGATGCCCGCGCGTACATTTAACACGTTCTCGGAAAATACGATACGTCTGCGACATATTTCACGCGTGAAAATAATTCGATGTCGATAAGCGTAAGTTTAGAAAAATGTAACGCTTACCGCCTCTCTGCCCCCGGGCATTTTACACAAGTGTGCCCGTTATATACGAGTACGAGATCACATTTAGCTGATCGATAACGCTTTCGTTTCTCGATGGTGAAACCGCGCGTCGCGTCGCATGATTTTCCCTTACCAGGTATCTTATAAAGTCAATGCCCCGCCTCTTTTTGATACACAAATACTTTTTGGTTACCCATTGCGCGCTCGGTATTTTCATCACATATTCCCGCGACAAAGGTAAAATGTAATTAAGTGTTCCTAACAGCGCGACCAGCGGTACGCTGTTTGTATAGAGAAACGGAAAAAGTGCTTAGCTGACCCAAAAGCAAGATGTAAAGTTGCATTCGCAGCGCTAACTCGGGAAACGAGGAGTATCGAAGAATCGAACGATTCCATCCGCGCGGGTTTTCGCGGTAAATCTACCGAGCCGAGTGGATTAACCCGTACGTGACAAATGTAATGTCCAAGTGTCGTGGAAGAAAGCTTTCGAAACAAACGCGTTCCAATTACGTACACGAGGAAAATTTTACATTTAGCCGCACGTGCCGCTGTTGAGATAATCCATTAACTGAGACGTAAATTATTGCGTCCCATCTACTTGTCTACAAGATTCCTCTTTTCTTTATTAACCTGCCATTTTGTAGGAAACAGGTGCGCTTGTAACATAAATACATTTATTTCATACTGTAACAGTTATTTCCCAGATTAATATAAAATCTGAGGAAAATGGAATGTATTAACCAAATGAGGCAATATATTTGCTTTAGTACTGATTGTATTTTCTAATTTATTTTATTATATGTGAAATATGTAAGCAAGGAATATATTACAAAATTATTATACATGAAAGAGAAGAAGAGAGGCAAGAAAGGAAAAAATTAAAAAATTAGGTTAAATAATCGTTATTAACAATTATCTCTGAAAAGAAATTTATTCTTTTCAGTAAAATGATTTACTTTTTGAGAGAAAACAAGTCACGATTTATGTAGAACATAATTTAACGACTGCTCCGTGCTCCATGGGGTCAGACACGTACGAAAGAGATTTGAGTTCGGCCTCGGAAATAGATCGTGGCTGTGGTGACATTTTTAGATTATCGCAATATGGGGAGGCTGGTATAAGGCGAACCGCGAACGTCACGAACGCTTGGCGTCAACAGGTAGGGCTCTCGCTCTTTCTACCTGCTCGTTTCTCTTGATCCCTCGCAAATTCATTCCGATTATTTCATTTGTCTCACCACCTCTGATGACTTATATCCTGATGACTTATCGTAGAATCGTGAGAAGAGAAAAATCAACTTATTTTACATTATTACAAAATTACAATTTTAAATGGAAATAATAGACAAATAATTGACAGATTGTTTTTATTAATTAAATGTTTAAAATCTTTGTTTATTTTGCATATGAAATTTAGGTTAAACTATTTTTTTTCAATTGAACTAAACATACAATATAATTTAATGTTATTTAATACTGCCAACAAAAATTAAACAAACACTTTGCTTACGAAAACTGAAAAATGTGTCCCTCATATAACTTTACTGCCGACAATCGACTAAAATGATAAAAGGCCGGAAAATGTCGAGTGCGACAAAATTTATATTTACCTACCATTTGTATCCATATGCTCATTTCGTAATCCGCTTAGTTGTAATTTCGTTAAGCTTCCAATTACGATTAATATTCGTTCTCATTTGAAATATTAGTGATATACGAAGCGGACGAATTTATAAACGGCACTTTCGTAAAAGAGCGCAACATTCGAAATATCATATTCCACAACGACAATGTAAACTCTTATCTTTTCTTTCGTTTTCTCACTCCCCTCATGTACTCACGCGCGATGCGCTTTCTCACGTATGCGTTTCCCGCGAGCGCATATGGAGGTCCCGGGATAGAAGGATAGAAGACTAGGATAGGATAGGATGAGTAGAATGGGTAGAGGGTAGAGGGTAGAGGGTAGAGGGGTGGGTAGAGAGAAGGTGGGGTCACGCTTCGTCTGGTCCTCCGTGAGATTGCACACCGTGACCAACAAAGTACCACGGTTTACGGGGTATAACTCGCCAAGTGGGTGGGGGAGGGCGAGACGGTGTGAGAGTGGAGAGTGGCGGATACGGAAGGAAGAAGCGGGAGGGGTAAGAAAGCCGGAGAAACTGTAATAGCAAGGAGTTACGGCGGAATAGGAAGGAATGGATGGATGGCGCGAGCGAGAAAGCAATGCGATTAAAAGGTCGCGTTGTCTCGCGAAAAAAGAGTCTCTCGACGAGAACGGGCGGAAAGAGGCCAGGTAAAGAGGTAAGAAAACGTCGGAAAAATAGAGAAGTGGGTAAAGAGGCGGCGCATAGAACAAAGAATGATGACGAGACGCGCGGAGGAATGGGAAAGGAATAAAAGGGTAGGGTAAAAAAAATAAAGGTTTGAAAAGGAGCAATGATAACACGAAAGAAAAGACTCGATTAGGATGATTGTCCTGCATTTAAGTGAAGACTAGGATTATAAACGTAGCGATATTTTCGCTGCCATTTTCGGCGAGGGTAAAGAAAACGAAAGAGAAATATAAAACGGGCTGAGCAGCACGGGAAGTTGAAAAATCCAGGCAGCATAAAGAATGTATTAACGCGTCAAAGAGAAGCAAGAGCGCCGGATAAGAACGGTCGAAAAGATCGAAGCGCGAGAAGGAGAAAGATATTAGAACCTTATGTTCTGTGTACAGTCGCTCCGATAACAATGGTGGCGATGCTTTCGCAGTTTCTCAAGGCAGAATGGTGCTTTAAAGCATTCCATTTGGAGAGCTTTTCCCGTACCTTGTATCAGTCGGTCAAATTCAACCGCGGTCAAAGAGAATGCACGGCACGGGCCAGCGATGGCAGCCGGCCGATATATCGATCGATGTATTTTTCTTCTCGTGCACGCGTATACGCTAAGAGTATCTTTCCGTGCCTTCGGAAAGCCAACGATACGATCGTTCATTCCGCACAAACTATCCGAATAGTTAAAAAAGAAAATAACAATGATACTGCCGGACAATATATACATCCGTGATAGCTGTGTGCATCGTATTCTCCGTATATATCCGAGATATAAATTATACCGACGCTATTTTCCGCGACGTTCGAACAGCTATTCCAGCGATAACGCAAACTCCGCTATGATATGACTTGTATCGATGCGATAAACGTGTCCGACAAAATAGAGCAAACGCATAACTGCTTTCCGATCGTATCGTCCGGCCGATCAGTCATCGCTTCTTAACAAGCAGAACTCTATCTTAAGCAACATTAATTTATCTTGAAACAAAACGGAGACGGCGAGCGCGAAAATAAAATAAATAGAGATGAAAGAGCGAAATGTCGCTCTATCAGGGAGATTGGATTTAATTAATCCAATTAGGCGCTCCCGGGTTTCTAATGTATTTACAAACTTTGAGAAACTTATGATCGACCCCGGCGTGATGCACCAGCGTTAATTAAAACTGCGCTAACGAAATCGTTAACCTCAATTAACACGTAGATAATATAAGGCGACGTAAAGTGGAACATGCTAAGAGCTATTCTTCCCGGCGACTTTTTTTATCAATCTTCCTCTCTCCGGCTCTACCTTGCTTTACGTAATGCATTTCAATTCTTTTTATATAACGTTTGCATAACAAATAATAATCAACGTTTTTACAAGATTAGTTATATTAGCACTTTAATCAATGTTATGCCAGTGTTCTCATCTTCGATACTAATTAATGTTTTATTATTTTGATGTTAGACGTATTTAAAGAAATTATTTTATTATATGTTTGTTATATATCATATATTATATTCGATCAATTTCAATGGCAATTATATTAGCATAAAAAAATAATTTTATACTTTGCTGGAATATATTAGAGACATATTAAAACATTGAAATCACTTAATAACAATTATATACAAATATACATATCATTATAAGAGCATATACACTAAACATAATCATCTGCGGAATGCAAATTAAAGAAGATCCGCTTTTGCCGCATGTCGTTACGTCAATTTTCGTCGAGTTATAACGTTTGAAAAGTCCGAGCGCGACGCGAATGTGTGCGTGTGTACATGTGCGCTATGTTACGGGATCAGCTGATCAGCTGATCAGCTGAGTAACGGTACCGTAACAGTAGGTCAAGGTCCTATAGATCACCAATCATGCGGTATCGTCGGTTGACTTCGACGTTAGGTTCGGGATCACTCGGGATGTAATCGATAGAAGTGTCGAAACAGTCGCTAGTTGCCGCTAGCCGCTAGTCGTCATCGATCGGTTGTTTTCTTCCGGTTGTAGTAGTGAATTGCGGCCGGTAGGGTAAATTTATAGGTTAGAATAGTGTTTACTCGGTGTTGTGTGTAATTGACGTGAGACACGATAAAGTCTCTTGATATGGCTTCACAAGGAACATTCTTGAGACATCGTATATATGCACAAACAACAGGTAATCATCAGTATTAATCAGCGCGTGCAATTATTATGGATCGTTGTTCCGTGTCGTTTATTCGTTCGAGAATACATCGCATGTCAGGAGAATTAAATGCATCGCGAGTCAAAGTGATGATAAAGGCAAGTGAAGATAATTAATTAGATTTTGCGATGATATTTATATTCGATATTTTGCGACTTTTGTAATGTTGTTCTCTTGGAACATTGTCATTACATTTTTCAATGAGTCGCATTGTTTTGCGTTTGTAATGATCAATATTGTTTCGGAATCATTATGTGTCACATTAAAAATGCATTGCGCTTATAAAGCTCGAATGTACTGCATGAATAAATCGTATTAATTAGTGTGTTTTTATTATAGGTGTTTGAAGCAACGGCAGGACTGCGATGGATTGCAGCGGCGGGACATCGACTGGTGAGTACATTTTTGTATTATATTACGCGATGTGTTTATATGCATATACGAATCGTTTTAATACGACAATACAAGAGTGTGAAATAATTGTTAGTAACCAGAGCGCCAAATACACATATCATGTGTCTTTTACAATCGAGAAAAAGATAGATACGAGATTAAGACAGTAAGTATGTATAACTCGATCGTAACGAGTGTTTTTTAAGTGTTCGTACGATCTAAACGAGTTTCTTAAAAGCCGTTCTTGCGAATCCAATATTATATTATATAAGTATACATATTTCTGAGTTACATTACATATAAAGTAATGTAAAAAGTTAAGTTATCTGAAAAATATTTCATTTTTGCGCTTTTCGTGTAATTTATTTTTGCTTTTTCAAGAGACTTTTAAATAATTATGAAGACAAATAGTGTTTTAGGATAAATTAATTACAAGCATACACAACAAATTTATAAAGAGCTTAATTTTTAGGTTAAAAAATAATTTGGCAAATAAGAGTTAATTGGCGAGATATGTGCGCCATGTAAATATTATCGTATGCTATTATATAGATTACATCGAGTACGTATATTAACTATAACAAAGTCAATTCGATTCCAGTGTCTTATCACGGTGTGAAAAATGTCTGCGCGTAACGCCGGCGCCAAAGGCGTTAAGCTTGTAACGGAATTTTAGCTCCAGTTTCCGGTCACCGCGTTCGCACTGACAACCTTAGAGTTTATTGAATTGTGGGGATAGTTTGAAAATAGTTTGTGTCTCGATAAATTATAACCGCCGTGGCAAAACGAGTTTTCAGTTTGCAACCTTAACCGTAATTTATATTACCGCTAACGACGCGACTACCCTTCCAGCCTGGTGATATTTCAATCTCCAAGCCTATCGTATACGTATAATAATACAAGCTTTAAACCTATTAATTACCTCCCGTGAACGCTGTCGATTTGTTTTCAATGCAGGCTTGAGTTCCGTAATAAAATTTTGTAATTTGCTACACATTATACGGGCATTATTGAGTTTCCGAAGCCAAATTTCGAGCAAATATTCAACTAGATATACGAATTGTTAATCACTCACCGCGTTTGGAAAATATTTTTGTTTTCCGGTAAAAAAATTATAATAAACAACTCGAGGTCGCGCACAACACAATATATTTAAATGGAGGACGTTTATCTTATGAAACATTATTAACCTATAAAATATACAACATTCTCGCGTTTTAAACCAAGATAACAGTTGCGAGTTCTCGCACATTATTCTCTTTTTTTTTTTTTTTTTTTCTTTGAAATGTCTCATTTTCAAAGACAGAATGTAGAAACGCGACACACCATCGTCTTCGTTTTCGTCTCGTTTCAGTAGCTTGACATATTTATTATAATCGCGGGCGTGACGTGACACCGCTGACATGGGTCGATTTTACAAGCGGTTCCCAGATGATTAAATCCCAAAGTGGCAAAGATGGACAGAAACGGACGCGTGGGTGAAGATACCGGGGAGTTAAGCTACGAGGCAGACTGCGGCATGACGAATCAATTATGCAGCAACCGAACTGGAACATTATGCAGCTTTCGAGGGGGATGACTGTTGCAACGGGAAAAGTGAGAGCGAGCGAGCGGGCGAGCGAGCGAGCGGGCGAGCGGGCGAGCGGGCGAGCGGGCGAGCGGGCGAGGAGTGGATTGATACGGTTAGCGACGGAGATTGATCGACCGGGTGATCGATCGTCCGTGCGGCGGGACGCGCGTACACACCGTGCGCAATGGCGTTATATGTGTTGAAGAAAGATGCGCTTTCCAACTTTCCGGCTACGCGAGCGAATTTGTTTTTTAGAGTTCTCCAGGGAGACTACTGACGCGGGATTTCGATCGAGTTCCGATGATAAAATTAAGTCTGTTACAAGCGGACGTATATACGTGTCACGTCATTGTGCATGCACTTTCTTTGAACAGCAAATTTCTTTAATCACGAATCGATTTTCTCTTAGCGAAAATGTGATAAGAGGTTCCATAGTTGTTTCAATTTTCATCTTATACACATTTCAATAATTAAATCTTAAATTAAAATCTTGTAAAAATAATTTGTTGAAAATTCTCTGGAAAATAAACTTTTAATATTTGTTAGTAGCTAAAAAATTTAGTTTTCGAAAAGCACTTTACTCTTGATTGCTTTTAAGTCGGAAGCCGCGAGTGTCTCGACGTTTCTGCGAGGAAGATATCGATTGGAAATTGATCAGACGATTCGTATTTCAAATATGACACAGAGAGAAACATTTCGTTTAAAGAATGAGTTTAATTATGTAACCCAATATGTAATAACGTAAAACTGAATAGACAGGATGATACGATCGAATACAAAAGATCGGGAAAAGCAAATACGTTTCCGGCATACTCTACACCTGACGGAGCGGAAACCACCACGGGAGCGCGCTGCGTCTCGTCTAACATCCGACGTGGATTTAGTTCTCGACGGAACACACTGGAAGAGAGAGAATAAACGGAAACGAGGAAAGCAGAATCCGTGACCGTCTTTAGATTATCGGAGACCACTCGAATCGGTATCCGATGTCTTCGCGTCTCCGCGGTCTCCTTCTCCTTTTACGATTTCTCCAAAGTAAGGTCAAGATAAGTTTGAAATAAATATGCCAAAATTTAACAGCGAGAAGAAGTTCGCCGTGTTATAAAACTTTTTCTCCGTTTCGCCTTCTCTCTTTCTTTGATAATGGGGATTATCGGTATCTTTTAATCCTCCGATATCGCGCGTCCTTCGATAGACGGACTGTAAAGACAGTCCTGCGTGCGGAGCCGGGGAAATAACGTAAGGTCTCGGTGAGACAAAGATGGAACTTTACGCGGGCAGAGGGAGAAAACGGCTGATGGCTCGACGATATCTTGGACTCTCGAAAACTCGCCCGGATAGACTGGAACTCGGCAAAACTTTCCTGCCGCCCTTTCCTCCTCCCTGAGTCGGAGACCTCTCTCTCTCTCTCTCTCTCATCTTCCTGCTACGGGTTCCTTGATAGTTAAAAGTTTGCCACGGCTCCGGTGTTGATCTACTTCGCCCACGCCCGGATTAATCGTGATTCCGTATAGCGGGGAGTGACTTAAAAGAATCTCGCGCGACAGCGTGAAAACGATGGCACGAAGTAAATTGAAAACAAAAGAGAAGGAACAGCAGCGAAGACGGGGAAGGGGTTGAGGGCGGCGGGGTAGGTGAGCAAAAGAGGGACGGTGGGAGACGAAACGTAATCGGTCGTGCGCGCTTTGTATATTTATTCGCATCGCGGACGGACGGCGGAGTCGGCGAAACGGCATCGCTCGTTCATGCAAATAGACAACTCGGTTACACGCTCACTCGGTTGCCGCGGCAACCCTTGTAAAATTTCAAAGCTGCTTGCTCTCTCGTTCTCCTTCTCGCTCGCGCGCTTTCTTCATGATTCCTCGGAAATTTTTATACTCAAAGTAACAAGGTACGCGCGAATTCACCGGGCGTACGGCTAGAGGCATGCTTTATGATTAACGTGCCTTGAATAGACGTCGGGCCCGGCATCCCGATCTCCCCTGGACGCGTCTGTATCTTTGGCCGGAATACATGTAACGCGCGCGGTGAAATGAACAGACTTCCAACAACCCCCTGCCGGAAAACTAGAGCGATTCTTAAACGTATTCATATCGCTGTCATGTTAAATGTAGAGTGAAACAAAGCAATAGAGGAAATTTCGCGTGACAATCTTTCAATCATATACTACCGAATTCCGCGTGGATTCCATTCCAATCCGGACTTCTCCATTCCAATGGAAATTCTCGAAATTACAGCGAGATAGCTCCTCCACGGTGTGTCCTACAATACTTATTACCCGCTGCACAGTTAGTTTGTTAGTGAAATTCTGTGTTTTTCCTTACAGAAATAACGCCGTATTTTGTGTATTTTATTCGCGTGTTTTTTAACCAGTGTTTTCTTTGTATTTTTTAATATCATTTGTTATTGTGTAATGTCAATTTAATTTTGTTATGGACGCGAAATGTTCTTTGGGATATGCGTGTTGTTTTCTTTCCGCGAAAACGTAATCTGTATAAAGCTTACGTAGAACCCACATTTACAAATTATCTTCTCTGTCATTAAAATTATTCTATTTTCCACAACGAAAAGTTAGAAAAAAGGAGTAGATTTTTTGCGATGTTTTTATGCAAGGTAAAAGAAAGCATGCGGTGTAATATATATATATATATATATATATATTATACACGGCGTGCAAACGTAAAATTATTTATTCAAAGTGAATTCATTTCTTTTCTTATATCAGTCATTCCGAGATATCATCGAATTACCTTATCTCGCCCTACACGTCACAAGGAAAACCCACCGATTTGTAATTGTAGAGAAAAAAATCAAGCCCCGCATCCGCTCACGCGACATGCAATTCCTCGCGGTCTGTTTACCCTGGAAAACAGTCCGTTGAGTGAATGCTGGCGGCGGCAGCCGCGAGTACGTACACGTGTGCATACGACGCGATAAACGATTCACGAAGGGGGCACCGCGCAAAAATCAATACAGGATAGTACTCGTGCTCGCCTTTCTGCATTTTATAGTTTCGCCGGCGACACGCACACATACCTGTACACGCGCGCATCTTGGGTTGTCCGTACTTAAATCCAGCATGCCTCGAGAGTTTAGCACGGAGCTCTCGTACGGAAAAATAAATTCTCGACGGGGTCGACGGCGGGCGAAAACCGTCCCGGTAGAAGAAAACCGGCGCAAAGCGACGTAAAAGCGGCACGAAAGAAAGAGCGGAAGGACACCGGAAAGAGAGAAAGAGGGAGAGGACCGGCTGCATACGGACGGAATTGGATTAGTCGATGTACTTTTCTTGGTGGTAACCCCTTCCCCCTCTCGCTCCTTTGCCGTCCGAAAGGTGCAAAAAAGGTCGAAAAAAAGCACGCGTGCGCACACACTCGCACACGTACGCGCGTGGTGATGATGTCGGGGAATCCAATTAGTTGTATTTCCG